ATTTTATATAAGTTTACGATTTTCTTACGCACCGTAAAAACTTACGAAAGTTTACGCATATATATTTTTGCTGATGTTTTTACAGGTAATGGTGAAAGTGTGGGATTAGAATGGCCATTTAAAGAAAGAAATGAAATCTATTGCTATTTTCTAGCTGCAGAATACGTAAAAGTTGTTTTAATTAAACTGATAGTAGAATAAAGAAGCTTAAAATTTTTATATTAGATCTAGATCTCTCCTACTAGGTTAAGTATATAAGCAAAACAAGGATTATGTTTAACTTGTAGCATCAAAGGAGAAAAAATATTAAATGCAGCTAATATGTATAAAGCATTATCTGTAATAAATAAGATTACATTATCAAAAAAGATTTTATAATAAGACAATATTGAAATAACAAGTTGAGAAATAGTAGTTCTATTGACAGCTTGCAAGTAATCCATTTTAACTAAATGAGTTCGATCATAATAGCTAAACAAAACATTTACTATAGCTCTGCTATATGAATCCGTTGTTTCATCTATTGTAATGCAAATTTTTTTTCCAATTGATAAATTTTGAAGTTTTTCTTCTTCCTGTTTAAACAAAATCAGAAAGTACTTTTCACGAACTTGATTAGAACCAGGAACCGCACCACCTATTAAAATAAAATTATTATAGTAAAATTAATTATATTCGTTGCTAAATAAAAAATGAATACGTATTATTTCACCAACAATCTCTTCACAGACAGCTTAGTTCACTGACAATTAATTCGCAGACAAGTTCATTTCATTAACAATTATTTCACTAATATTGACAAGTATTTTTTATAAATTACACTAACCTTAACTCTAATTCTAATCTAACACTAACAACAATGATCAGAATTACTTTGTTGGTAAAATATCATCAGTGAAATAATTGTTAGTGAAATGAACTTGTTAGTGAATTATTTGTTAGTGAATTAAGCTGTTGATGAAATGATTATTGGCAAAATGTGTATCACCCTAAAAAATTGCATACCATATTTGCAATGTACTCTTAAAAAAAATTGAAAATACTGAATTTTTTCAAAGGGTATATCAGCCTTGGCTAGTATTTTAATAAAATCAAGAACAAATTGTTCTTTTTTATCATAAGGCTTATTAAAAGTGGTAATTGCACGTTAAACAGAAGTTTTTTTTGAGAATTCTGAACATTAAGTACAGAGTTTTTTTTGATTGATGGTTAGAAAATATCAAATATTTATTAATAACAGATTTTTTTCATAATCCACAGTGGTTTGACAAAACTGGCAAAAAAGTTTTTTTCTATCTGTATAAAAGTCATCTTTATATGAGAGGTTTCTATAAAGTCGTTCTGTAGCTATAACCATATTGCTTTACGTTTTTTTAACTAAACATCAAACTTTTTTATTAACAAGCCAGAACTGCAAAAAATTTTACAACTTTGTTTTATAAAAAAAAAAAGAAAAAAAAAAAAAGAATTTTAAGTAATTCATAGATAACTAAGAACAATCACTCAATCGTTATTAACTTTAAAAATAGGGCTATCTTATATTAAGGTTAGTAATTCATGGATATTCAAAAACAATCACTCAATCGTTATTAACTTTAGAGATAGAGCTATCCTATATTAAGGTTAGGTTAGTTATATATATGCAAAATTTTCTTCTTGACATTTTTGCTGGATATTTAAAAACAATTAATATTATTGTTTTTATTGTTATAAATTAATTATGATGTCAGATCAGCCAATCATATCTAATCTACATGACCAGGATGCGATTTTTTGCTTGATTATACGAATGCATCCAGAATGCGAAAAAATAATAAATTATGCACATATTATGCAATTGCATAATCCTGGACACTCTAGTGTCTGTAGACTTTCTGTGCTAATATAGCCTCTTAGTAAATTAAAATTATCTGATTTCTGCCTATTTTTTTTTATTAGTTAAATTATAGTATTTATCAAAAAATTTAGGCATTAATTACGATTTTAACCGGTCATTGACTGGCTATAATCTAACCAAATCCAAAATTATATAAACAATATTTGATAATGTAAATTGCAAGAAAAAATTTTATTAATGAGTAAATTTTTAGCAATACACTAAATAAATTCAAAAGTAAAAAATAAATTTAGAACATATGTAAAAAAAGTAAGCTAACTGTATTAACGATAAGTATACTGTAGTATAAGCAATATATAAACTAATATACAGTATATTTTAAAAACTATTTCTTTTTCTCTTCTAATATCTTTTTCCAGGCAGCTCTGTTGCCTTCCCAAGCTTTTTTTCAGACATCTCTGTTGCTTATCCTATCCCACCATTTTTTAACATTAGGTCTTTTATCCTACAAATCGGCATGTTTGATAGAAGAACAAATATAATGAGTAAAAAGACAATATAAAAGATTGGCTAAAGAAATTTGCTAGCTAAATATTCTTTTCCTTCTAAAAGCTTGTCATAAACTTCTAAAACTTTATCAATCTCTTTACGAAACTGCTTAATTAATTCTGGATTTTCTGGAATTCTTTGGAATACTTCTTGAAATACAATTGTTCTTATCAGTGGTTCATAGTAAAACGATTTATAAGAAATGAATTGATTAACTAATGCAACTTCATGAATATCGTGAGGCATCAAGATTTTGTTACTATGTTTTCTTTGGTATTTAGATACTAGGTAACAACAAATTGCACTAGTTTCGGTAAATTTAAAATCACCATTATAAAGGACAGAGATTTTTTCACTATAATTGTTATAGCTTGTTAGTATTCTAATTACATATGGATGTCTGCAATAGACAATGCTTATAATGGATGCTTATTCGCGAGAAATTTCTTTTCCTTTAAAGCTTCCTAGCTAGCTGGACATTTGAGTTGGTAAAGAAGACCTAATTCATTAAGGCACGCAATAACAGAGAGGACAGATATTGAAACTTCAAATCCAACAACCTTAATAGTCATTGTTTTTTTTTATAATAAATACGATTGAATTAAAGATGAGAAAGACGAAGTGGATAAGTATTTAAGTATTTTTGCTGTACTCGTTTACACATTAATGAGATTTAATTTTTGTATTTTTGATCACTAATAATAATGCAATTTCATATTAATGTATATAGAACCACATAAACATCAAGATGATCAATTTTATTACACCGTTTTTCAATTTCTTTATATTTAAAGTAAACTGACTAAAATTATAGTTAGAGTTAGGATTAAGGTTAGTGAATAGGCAAGATTATAGGTAAAATTGCTCTCCCAACATTTTTTATTAGTACTCCAAAGCAAGTTTAGACACTCGTTTTTTTGTATTTTCTGCTTTTTGCTTTTTTTTTTGTTTTATAAAAATTGGTGATTTGATTGGTCGATCAATGTAAATCTCCCAAATAAGGAAATTGAAAAACAGTGCGGTAAAATGGGTCCATAGAGATTGTTAAACAAATAACTGATAGCAATAGCTGATAAAGATGTTTAGAAGCCTATTCCTTTATCGTTATAGGCCGGGCCGAAACAAATGATTCAAGAACAATTTTGGAATTTTCTGAGCCTTGTAAATGATGGATCCTGTTTGAACTTGTGCGATCTAGAGTAGAACCGAGCAATGCATTCGTAAGCAATAATTAAGTCTAAACCTAAAAATATATGCTCCTGTTGTTCTCACTATCACATCTTTACTATTAATAATTTATTTATTAATCATGGCTCTCTATATTATCATTATACAATTACCCATCCAAAGTTTTGCGCAAATAGTGTAATGTAAAAATTTAAAAAACTTTATTTTTTTTATACCTAATCTTGTAGTTTAATTAGCTTTCGCATATTATTTAACCTAATTTGTCTAATTCTAGATTTCTATATATACAACATATTTATTTGTATAGAGTTCAATATCTTGTTTCAATTTGAATATACCCAGAAATTTTACATCCAAACTAGATGTTAGACACATTGAACAGCAGATTAGATTTATTCTATCTATGGATAAATTTGGATAATATTTGGGAATTTGAAAAACTTTATTGCCTGAAACACACTACGTATAGACAGAACTCGATGCCAAAATTTAGTTAATTACCTCTCTTTACCTCTTTCTTAAAAGGCTCTTTCATATTCATGCTACGCTGTTTAAATATTCAAATCAAGATTTAGTCTTCTTTAGGCTAGGATTACTATCTGCTTTTAGCGAAAAAATACATATAAAAGGAAGTGATAGTATCACAAATTTGAAAGTGTTTTGTATAGTAGGCTATTAATCTCTATTCTTGATCTTTATTCTTGATCTCTATTCTAGATCTAGATCTTGATCCCAATGCTCCATTTTCACTTTGCTACGAACAGCTGTCATATTTATAAAATTTGTTTCTCATCTGATTATTACTAAATATACTATCATGCAACAGTTTTTTTACTATTGCTATATGATAACAAATGTCATTATTTTAGGGGTTTACTAATTTCCCCCACTACTTCCCATTGGACAAATACAATTATCATTTTCCATTGGACGAAACAATTATATCATTGATTGGGTAGCTAAAATTTTATGTAACCATCTAATGTGTCGCAATTAAAGAATAAATTACTTCTTTTTGCAATTGATTAAAATTTTTTTTTCTTTTAAAAAAATAATTATTTTCGACATTTTGTTCTTTTGGGTTTTAGCACTTTCAAGTTTTTTAGTAATAATTTCGTATGAACATTTAAATAAATTTTTGCCAATAAGTTTTTATTATATCCACTT